GGCGCCCCCTTGAAAGACCTTCCTGGTGAATGCTCTCATAAATGAACAAAATGCTGTTTCTCGTTCTCTCTCAGTATCGTAAAGGCACTTGATGGAGTGCTTAGCCTACGTGGCGAGAGCCCGATGAACGAACGAAGGTGATTTTCTCGAAGACGATTTGTTATGTAACATATTTGTCAAGTCTGGAGCCCATAAGTGCACCTGAAGTGCGGTCATGAAAGATAATCTGGTGGACCTTGATCAATTTTTCAGGAGTGCGCCACAAGTGCGATTTCCAGTCAAAGGCGTATAGGCACTACGAATGCATAGTGAAGTGATGTGTGAGAGGACCCCTGGTTCAGAGCCGAAGTTTTATGCTCTTTGAGGATATTCCAGCATCCTGAAGCCTCAGTGAGGCTAACACTGCTTTTTGTAAAGCAGCTAGTGTTTTTAATAACAAATGATCAAAACGTAAGACCTGGTTGTCTAGGCCGACTTGATGTGAACCTAGGTTCCCAAAGGGACGAATCGCTAGACCGAATAACAGCTGAGCTGCAGCGCACTGTGCAGGCGTCAATTGTTTCTTCCTGCTGTGTTGTGTCTTATGAATTATATGCTGCATGGCCATTGAGTTCTTCCATTCTCTTCCGCATTATATGAGCCATCAGAGAGTCGTTAGCGTTGCTGTCAATTTCAAAATCTTCTTTTGATTCGCTTTCTGGTATTATCCGCAAAATGTACCCATTTATCATAACTTTGGATCGTTCCTCTTTTCTTTGACAAAAAAGCAGGCAATAATCAGTAGCATCTCCACTGGAAGCTTTGAAAATTATCTTTGTAAAGCGTGACATCACTCCACCATCGTTCGTGCACGCGCTGGGCTCTCTTCGAATGACTTGCTAATCCACCTCACTTCAACGTTGGAGTTCCCATTTAAAGGCGAGCCCCGGGATAAAACTTGGTGATTAGAGCACTCGTAGTAATGCTGAGCTGCGGAACGATCTGAAAGTGGAAAGGTCTTTGGGAACGCTGAAATTAAGGCCTTAACCTTCAATAAGGTCGGATGTGGTACGATGGCGAGACAGGGCGGTCAAAGAAGACAAAACACGCGAGAGATCACGCCGTTCGAGAGAGCACGCCGATCTCCGAGGTGGGTGGGAAGCGTTGCAACGGGGGTCGATGGTTGCAGGCCCGTAAGGATTAGCGCCCTAACCGCGCAATTTTTGCGACGAAGCTGGAGTGATCTAGGTAGGTACGGACCTTACAATTTCCCTCGCGGTATCCTTCCCACAAGTCGGGCTAATCCCGGGGTTTGCCTTTAAGAACGCAAAAGAATGTAATTTCATTGTATGAACCTCTTCTAAAACCTTCTTACTGGAGAAATTGCCAAATTATTGCGAGGTTTCCAATCAGGAGTACCAGACTACTTGAAGGATTCAGTTCAACTGAGAAACAACACAAACGGATTTAGGCTTCCTTCTCGTGTCCGCTGTTGAAAATATCTTTTCGAACTTGTTCACACTTATTTAGCTGTCATTGCAGATTCATAATCACTAATTCATATTCAGTTATCACGGCGAAAAAACGTTTTGTCTGTATTGCTTTGGTTTTTATGCTGTTCTAAATGACCTTTGAAGCCGTTTCTTCCTCTGAATCTCTTATTTCTTTCTCAATTCGCCATTCATTATACCAGATTAGTTCGTGCTCATTCATTTGAACTCAATATCTCATCACCGTAATGCCCTGCTCTTTTCGTACAATGAAGACATTTCAATAAATGTGGAGTTCTGAGATGGCGTACATTTACCACAAAAGCTGAATATCGGACCAGGCGGAGATGTTGTGGTTTGTTTGGGGGCACCACTCACTTCGTACGTGGTTTGGGGTGAAATCCTGGATTGAATGATTTCGGAGTCAATCGAGTTGTCGCCGCTTTGGGGTCATTTCATTGGGACCAACTGCTGAAAAGGGAAAGTGAGAAATTCCGACAGGCGCATCAGCCGGCCTCTGCGTAAAGCTCTTAACATAGGCCAAAAGACAATGATGTCATTATGATTTCGAATGGAAGAAGGGTGCGTGGCGCATCTCAATAATGGAGGGCTCATTGCCGGATGCTTCATCCGTTATATCTCGCTTCTCTTCAAGCTCTATAAAGGTCTTCCATCACAGACGCGCACCACAATAATGAAAGGGCCTCAGGGTTTCTTGTCGGCTTAATATTACCAATCTGGTGAACGAATTCCGGACATCTCAGTTCCATTTGGGGTCCTCGTGAATCTCATCCTATCCACTTATTTAGACAGTAGTTACGGTCGATCTAGTACATGCTTACGTGGTCAACCATACCACCCTGATTCTTCAAGGTAAAGATCCCAAGAATAGTAGGCCCAAATCCTGACCGAGTCCCCCAAGAGGGATGAAAGATTAGGCAGACTTTTATGTGCGTCGTGAAGTGACGCCCATGTGCTCATACATTAGATGGACGCCTTACCGTATCCTTGAACAAAAAATTAGACGACAGTCAGTCGCTGATTCATTGATTTGGTGACTATAAGCCGAGAATTCCCGTGGGGAAAGGGGTGGTTGCTGGGGTTGCATGTTTTCACTCTTCGAGGCGCCCACACCATTCTGGTCGGAACCGCCGTCCGCCAGCCAGTCACCTCGATGCCCTTTGGATTCTCCCATTTGTCGCTGTTTCTCACCCAGTTCCGCCATGGCTCAACACAGTTGCAAAGAAGGTTGTACTTCTATTGTTCGTTTGTTGCTCAGTGTCTCTCAGCGCCAAAATAAAGCAGTCATGCTCACTGAGTCTTCAAATCAAGTCTGTTTTCTGCAGGGATGCAACGATAATGACGTCGTCGAGTGAGGGCGAGATCCTGCAGGTCTCGCAGGTGATACGAGAGCGATGGAAAATTGTAAGTACTTTACACATTATGGGCAGCTTCCTTTTAGTGACGTCATACTGCCGTCGTTGAGAACACTGAGGGGTCATTAAGGGGCTAAGAATGTATTCGCGGCTGATTACCGCCTTTGATTTATGATGTGCTGGCCGTTTGAAGGCTCTCTAAGCGCCCCAGCTGGAAAGCCAATTGCTTCGACTACTTTCAGAAGCAGAAAATAGGTGGCGGTGGATTTGGGGAAATCTACGAAGCCATCGATACTCAAAATCACAACGAACGGGTAGCTGTAAAGGTAAGCCTCGTCATGCTCTTTCAGACTGAACTGCTTTTCTTTCTTCGAGCTTCCTTCCCAAACCAATTTTGTTAAGGTTGAATCTAGCAAAGCTGCGAAACAAGTATTGAAAATGGAAGTGGCAGTGCTGCGACGACTTCAGGGTAAGTATGGCTCCAATATGGCCTCTAACCCAATCGCTAACAATTAATGCAGTGCAGTGCTCTTTTTTCGGCTCACATGATTGTCTCCTGCCTTCTGAAAACTCCCATTTTACCGGCGGATACACACGGCCCTTCGGCTACCGTCGAGCGAGCATCCGAGGAATGGCGCGGCTGCCCGTTCTGAGATGGCCTTTTTCAAATTTTGATGCTTGCTGACTCGAAACGCAAAATTTGGCGAAGTTGTCATTCAGTTGAATAGACGCGAACGTGAAGAATTCGATTTCGGGAAGGTCGCGAGCCCATCCCCTAGCCTAATGCTGTTAGATGCCCGCTCTCGGCGTCCACATCGCCGACGAGTGACGTCCCATAGGCGATCCCGCGTGAATTTGTGATGGAAGCATCGGGCAATCTCAAAATAGAACATTATTTCAGGCAAAAAACATGCGTGTAAATTCTACGGGTGCGGACGGAACGACAAATTTAATTATTTGGTAATGAGCCTTCAAGGGAAAAATCTTGCCGATCTCAGACGAGAGGTAGGTGTCTTCAGAAAATGTATGTAACATCAGAGGTACTTTCTGGTAGTGGTCGCACCTTTGGTGTATAGACGCCGCTGTTGTGCAAATGCTTTTCAAATTCCTTGGGCCACTGGTGTTTCTAGCACCCTAGAAAGGCACAACTGCATGTTGTTGCCTGTCAACCTCTCATGATGACAGTGATCATTATATGTTTAGTATTTGATACATTGAAGTATTTTGCTATTGCATCGAAAATTCCTTTGTGATTTTTCACCTTCTCATATAGACTGGTCACTATTTTTATGTGTTTTAATATTTCGGATTTAGTATTATGTTATACTTCTTTTTCGGAATTCTGTGTTTAAATGTGGGGAATAATTCAAGTCTGATTAAGAGGCTAACGACCACCTCTTATTTTTACTCAAACATATTTGTCAATACTTGTTAGTTTATTATTGACTGATTTACTGGAATCAAGATGTACGATCTCGTTCTCTTCAGGCGGCAAAACAGTGCTTCAGCCTAAGCACGGCTCGTTCGTCTGGTGTAGAGAAAAAGAAACAACACAAAAGAAAAAAAGAAAAAAACAAATTCTGACGCAATTAGCGGAGATACACTCGCCTGGATTTCTCCGACAGCGACATCAAACCGGGTAATATTTCAATTCATGTCGAATTTCTTAATATACGCAAATGACTCCAAGGCTAGTGTCAGAGTCCGCTATCTGCGCGCGATTCGCGTGAATCGCAATAATCGAAGGTGCCCAATTTGAACATTGAAACAGTAAATGCGAAACTAGTAGGGGGGGGGCGGGGCGGAGGGGGGTGGGAGTAGGGCGGTCTCGGGATAAATATAATAAAATCAAAGACAGAGAAGCGCGGGACTAGCAGAGCACCTCGCAGTACTGATCAGGGCACTTGTGATTCCTGTGATCCATCGCGCTACGGATCGCGGACTCTGATACCTGCCTAAGCCAACAATTCAGTGTTACGGATTTTATCTCGCTGAAACTTCACTTCAATTTGATGTACATTATTTTTTGGAACAGGGGCACTTTTTTTCCACTGAATTGAATATGTTGTATGGACCGTCATGGAGCAGTTGCTCATAGGATTGTTTCATTTGATTTCTAAGGTAGATGAGAATGAGGTTTGTGTTATTCATATTTTTTTTGTTTTCACTCCTGACAGATAGACAACAAGGTTTCCTGTCCTGAGTCTTGAGTGATGATGTATGCCTTCCTGGAAGTGATGAAGTAACATGCTTTGGCGGAAGTGCCTGCCTTTGCCCTCATTCCCTTTCTTTAGCTTTATTATTTCATCAATGGACATCATACTTGTCTTGTGTATATTCTCTTTCCTATTATCAAATTTTTCAACAAACCCTGACAAGGTAATTCAGCCGGCTGCTTCGTGGCGGGGGTGATTTGCTCCCGCTATAACAACAAAATCTCACGAAAGACTTCTGCGGAACTTTCACTGAACCTTCAGTTCAAGTAAAAAAGCTGTATCGAACTTCAATTATCGGTTTTCTTGAAACTGTATACGGCTCAGGGGAGATTCAAAACAGGGCTGACGGTAGCTGACACTAGGACTAAGCACAGGGAAGGGAAGAAACGCCAGCAGGAACACAAATTACTCACATCCTTCCCCTGAATCCCTTCCCCTCCTTAGAGGTTAGTTCCAAGCACAGTAATTGGCTCACTCACTTGATGTCCCAACCCCCCCCCCCCAACGACATTGACGCCTTTAACTCTCATGGAATTACTGCTGCATCACTATGACGGTCGGGAAATCACGGTGCACTCACGTTTTGGTCACCTGGTTCGATTGCCCCACGTGTGGCATGTTCTTAGAAATACCAAATTGCTCGCACAATCAGTTTTTTTGTGTAGCTTGTTCTTTCAACCGCTATTCAAAGCTGCAATAGCACTTCTATGCACACCCAGGCTATGCATTCAGGTTCACGGCTAGCAGATGGCAATCTCAGTCTTTTTACCTTCTCACATAATTCTGATACTTATTAGATGATTTCCAAGTAGTGGAAATTATTGGCCTTGGTGAGTGTCACGCTGAGGTTCGGTTCTTCAAGAGCTGCTTCCCTAAATGTTACCCCTATCCCTGCTGTCGGTAATGATAGCTTGAGGGAATTCCTGAGGAATCTGATTCTTGGTCTGCATTCTCGAAGTGCACGTAATTCGCATTTTTGTCCAAAATGTCTGACGGTCTCGGATTGACCTCGACACGATATACTGCGCCCCAGGGGTCCATTCCTCCAGTATGTCTAAGGGCTTTTGAACAGAATAAACCCAAGAGGCGAAGAATGCCGCAGCATGCACAATTTGCAATGCGAACGATAGCCTATTAATCACATGGCAAGGGGAGAGCGATGGAGAACACTTCAATATTTGCGCTGCTGCAATTTTCAATATTCCAAAAGCGAACATTCCTTCGAGGGCTTTCACAAGATGACAGTAGTTCTGTAGTTCTGAATCATTGACTGTTTTATATCATTGTTCACTACTTTTAAAAATTCATGAAATTTACCAATGATTTTATGAAATTTGCTAAATTGCATAAAAAGTAGAAAAAAATCATAAAGATGTTGAATGGTCACTAGTGGGTGCGCCACGCATTCGACTTGTATTCGGCTTTGTCGAGGTAATTCAAATGTACTCTAGTCCAACTCATCCACCTGGAGAGGGCAACCAATATGAAAGTTGTTCCACGTAATTTTGAATTATGTAAGTGGTCAACTGTGGTGTGAGGGAAGGAGAAAGATTGTATAAATTCGACTGGATTCAACAAATTGGCCGAATGCCAACAATATGTGTGAGCATCTGGAAATTTCCCAACTGTTCAGATATGTATTCATTTTGAATTCTAAGAAGTCCTTGGGAACATAGCAGTCTCTTTAATATGAAAAGGTGCTTTATATCATCGGTTCGCCTCCCTATTGAAAGCACTTTGGAACCTCACGTCATCGAAGCCAGGTGCATAAACGGCGCCTCAGACCATTTATTAATGGCCAAAAATGAGAATGAGGTATTGCTTTCCAAGATTTATGACGGCGACAGAGAAATGGGCTTTAAGGGAAAGAAAAACGGTTTCGATGTCGTCAGAGATTGAAGCGGAATATCCCTCTGGATGAGGGATATCCCTCTGTTGCTGCTGCTGCTGCCGAAATTTTTCATTTTGCAGTCGAACTTCGCGATGGGACGAAGCACGGCAACAATGCGAAAGGTGTTCATGCTGGATTTTGGTCTGGCCAGGCAGTACTTGAACGCCAAGGGCGAGATCAGAAGTCCACGAAGCGCGGCTGGTTTCCGTGGTACCGTACGCTACGCTGCCGTGTCAGCTCACACAAGAACAAGGTTTGTAAAGCTACGTTCATTTGCATTAGCATTCAATTTTGATCCATTAACGTTTTTAACATTTGGTTTCGTTCTATGACCTCAAACCTTGATCAATTCGATGTATTTATGTTCTCGCTTCGTAGTTGAGTAACCAAACCCACACCCTGATCATGCACTGAGACGGTCTTATTTCGACATATCACTGGCGATCATGTCCTTAGGGAAGTACTTACAAAACAGGGCACTTGGAACCAGTTGGTGATATAGGCATTAATGATAGTCTAAGAGATTGAGAAACGTCAGAGAGTAAAAGAGTGATGGCTGCTTTACTCCTTTCAAAAACCCTTTCCTCACTAAGACTTAGTCCCAAGTTATGTGAATGGCTCACACCTTATTTTCCCCGCTAACAGCATGAGCGCCCATTCCACCATTATTTGAATTCGATTTTTGCCTTTGTATTAAACTGCGAGGGCCGACCGGAGCCCGTGCTAATCATCCGTATCTGGTCGATTGACAGATTTCGGGCGTACGGAAAGTTGACTAGTCGTGGTTAGATCCTGTACCGAGCCATGCGACGACGCGACTTCTTCATGACGCTATAAACTTCACACAGTCTGGATGCCTTGGAACAAGTGCCTATCAAAAGTTTGCTGCAAATCAAGGCCTCCATAGTGCCGACTATTTAGTGGACTACATCCATTCTGTGATCTCAGCGACGTATTGAACAATATTCGAATTACATGTGAATATGCCAATTTGTGTGAGGTATCGCCATGGGGGCGTCCGACAGAAATACCAGTACGAAGCATCGCAGAAAATAGTTTGCTTTTGCCAGCGTACAACGAAACTTCTTCCTCTATTAACGGTTACATTCGTCGAAGTAAGCTCCCGGCTTTGTGAGTGCTAAAAACTCCAGAGAAACGGCCAAAACTCCGTAGAATGTAAAGATTTGTTCGTGGCACGCATTTTAGTAATAAAAAAGTGTACGTCTTATTTCTCTTTCTCATTTTTCTTTCTCATCTGCAGCAGGAGATTTCCGCCATTTGGAAGTCTCTGGTAATGAATATGCTTCAATTCCAAGTTACGAGTCATTTGTGTACTACATTTGGGGACACATTCGATTCAGCAGTGCCAACGCGCAGTTATGAATTTTTGTACCTTGTGCTCAAATTATACGCATAAGAGTCATAGACTGGCATTCTGAACTATGGTGACCGTAATGACTTCGATAGGAATTCCTTCCATGATCCAATATCACTTGACCCAACGTGCATGTTCTAATGAACCGGCCCATGATCATATTCTCACATATTTAAAGGCACGGGTCGGGATCGAGTTGGGGTATTTGGCGCTTGAAAGTGAGTGCAGAGATGCGAAATGGAACGCCAGTGAAGAAAAAACGGGAAGAAGCCGTCGACAAAACCGAAAATAAAATCTCTCTCCAACAGCGGCGAAGGAGGTTGGCTTAGGAGGAATGCATGTCCGAACGAGTTTTCGGACATGCCAACCATTGCTGGCTCCGAAATCGGCTGATACGGCAATCAACCCAGCTGATTTCACGAGTTATGCCTGCCACGCACCACTCCGGCGGTGGGCGGTCATAGCTCACGTCGTCCTAGGCCAGGGTTATTATAGCCGCACGGTTTGCGAGTCACGAGACTGACATCACCTCTATGGTTGCAGACCCGGTCATGTTATTGACAGAGCCGTTTTCTTTTGTCGCCTAATCCTGAGCAGTGCCTTTGGAGGAGGGTTCGGCTCATTGAAGCGGTCGCTCCCGTGGTTGGAGGTGTGTGGCTCCGCCACTGCAGAGTTCGCGTCAACTTCGCATATCGAATAGGCGTCAGCACCATAACACGCTAGGCGCTGAGGATCCTGATCAAATCCCACTAGCCGGGTCCATCCACCATTCGGTATTTGTCTCCGTCACACTGTTGATCTGCTATGCTCTCTCTACTCGGACTTCTCTACCGCTCTCCGCGCTCACATTATCTCTCATCTCCCTGCCGGCCTTTTGAACTTCTCCGCAGCGTAGAGCAAAAGGCTCGTTTTTACTGCTTTGACCATTTTTCCCTTTTTTCTCCACTTGCAGTCCTTTTCGCGTCCCTACCTTCATATTTGAGTGGGACAAGCACAACAGTTCTATCTCGATCCTTGCCTCTGATGCATTTTTAAGCGCTGTGCTACGTGAGGTCTACATATTTCAGCACCCAGAACTTTGAACTCAGTTGTTTTTGAGCGATGCGTTTGAAACAATGGAAATGAGCCCGGAAATTCAAGTGGCGTTAGGATAAGCAATTCTAATCTAATGCACTGTACACTAATAGGGTCACTGCACTCTGAAGGAAATTAACAGCTTCACAGGAGAGAGAGTATGTGGACGATCCTCCAATCTCACCGCCAAACGAGTTCGGCCTCTTCAAGTTGGTCGATTTGACAGCTGGACACATGAGCATGTGCAATTTGCGTAGAAACCAGTTTTCAAAACATGACGAGTAAATCATTCGCCGATT